CTCGGAGGTTTGTGGGGTGTGGGGTCGCTCCACGGTGGTCTCCGCTCGTCCCCCGGCAGAGGGACACGCGCGAGGTGGTGGCTGTCAAATGTGTGAGCAAGAGGAGCCTCAACAGGGCCTCGGTGGAGAACCTGCTCACTGAGATCGAGATCCTTAAGACCATCCGGCACCCACACATCGTGGAGCTCAAGGACTTCCAGGTGGGGCTGTGAGCATCCCTTGGACCTGGGGGATCCCATGGGATTTGGGGCATCCCGTGGGGCTGGGGGATCCTATAGGGTTGGAGCTTCCCATAGGGCTGGGGTGCCCTATGAGGCTGGGGGCAATCCCATAGGGTTGGAGCTTCCCGTGGGGCTGGGGCATCCCATGGGGTTAGGGGCATCCCGTGGGGCTGGGGGATCCCATGGGGTTAAAGGCATTGCATAGGGCTGGAGCTTCCTATGGCATTGGAGGCACCCCGTGGGACTGGAGAATCCCATAGGACTGGGGTACCCTGTGAGGTTGGGGTATCCCATGATGCTGGGGGCTTCCCGTGGGGTTGGGGAATTACACAGGGCTGGAATTTCCTGTGGGGCTGGAGGCATCCCATAGGGCTGGAACTTGCCATGGGGCTGGAGGCATCCCGTAGGATTGGAGCTTCCTGTGGGTCTGAGGGTCCCATGTGGCCCTTTGGGGTCTGGGGCGATGCAGTGAGGCCAGCTGGGGTCGCCTTGCAGTGGGACAGTGACCACATCTACCTGATCATGGAGTTCTGTGCCGGTGGGGACCTCTCCCGCTTCATCCGTATGCGGAGGATCTTGCCTGAGAAGGTGGCACGTATCTTCCTGCAGCAGCTCGGTGAGAACCACGTGGGTTTGAGGGATGAGGACCATTGGGACTCTTGGTGTGGGTGCCAGCATCCCACCTCCCTGCTTATCTTTCTAGCCTGCGCCCTGAAGTTCCTCCACGATCACAATATCTCCCACCTGGACCTCAAGCCTCAGAACATCCTGCTCAGCACCCCGGAGAACCCTCAGCTGAAGCTGGCAGGTCAGGTCCCCGGCCCTAGGATGCTGTGGGGCGGTGGTAGGTTATCCCTGACCGTGCTTTCCCCATAGATTTCGGCTTCGCACAGTACATGTCACCATGGGATGAGAAGCACGTGCTGCGAGGCTCCCCGCTCTACATGGCCCCCGAGATGGTGTGCCGCCAGCAGTACGACGCCAGGGTGGACCTGTGGTCAGTGGGAGTCATCCTTTACGGTGGGTCCTTCTTCTGTGCACCCATCTCTCTGCACCCTAAAATCCCCTAGCACCCCAGTGTTCCAAAAGGTGGGGACCAACCCCATTGTGTTTAGGAGACCACGTGCACCTGGACAGACCTTATTGTGGAGGGTCTGTCCTGGTGTGGGTGCAGTCCAGCCCTATGGGTGCTGGGTGTTAACCTCTCCCATAGTGATGTTGACCGTGGCGGTGTCCACTGTGTTCATGATGCCTACCCTGGTCACGTCCACTACGTTGATATCTGTTTGTCCACCGTAGGGCAGAGGGAAAAGCCATGGGAGCCTTGGCTTGATGTCAGTGGGACCAAGAAGACTACAGGGTGCTCCCCCAAGTGACCCCCCCTCACTGCTCTCCTCTTTGCAGAGGCACTTTTTGGGCGACCCCCCTTTGCCTCCCGCTCGTTTGCCGAGCTGGAGGAGAAGATCCGCAGCGACCGAGCCATCGAGGTAACGTTGAGATGGCATGGGGTCGGGCCTTTGGGTTGTGCCACCCGGTGCCACCGCTGTCCCTGCCCAGCTGCCCAGCCGGCCCCTGCTGTCCCCGGAGTGCCGAGATCTCCTGCAGCGCCTCTTGGAGAGGGACCCCTTGAAGCGCATCTCCTTCGAGGAGTTCTTCGCCCATCCCTTTGTGGACATGGAGCACGTGCCTGGCCCCGAGAGCTTCTGCAAGGCGGTGAGTGGTGGGGTGGATGGCGATGGGATATGGTGGGACCAAACCCTGGTCCTGAGCCCTCATTACCTCCAGACCAACCTGGTGGTGGAGGCGGTGAAGAAGGATCAGGAGGGGGACGCGTCTGCTGCGCTCAGTCTCTACTGCAAAGCTCTGGAGTACTTTGTGCCCGCTCTGCACTGTGAGTCCCCGCGTTCCTGAGTGGTGGTGGGGAGGGATAGAAAGGGGCAGAGGATGGAGCTCGTCTGGTCAGGTATGGGACTGTGGCACCCCCAGGATGTGCTGCCGCCCCCACCCCTGATGTTGGACCCCCTTTTGTCCCCAGATGAAAGCGATGCTCGTCGCAAAGAAGCCATCCGGGCAAAGGTGAGTGTGGGGTGGGAGGGACCATCCATTGGGGTGTCCCCAGGGCACAGTGCTTCACCTGGCCCCACTGCCACAGGTGGGGCAGTACATCTCCAGAGCGGAGGAGCTGAAGGCGCTGGTCGCTTCTAAAAGCAAGAACCTCCTGCAGCAGGGAAACCCAGCCAGGGAGATCCTCAAAGGTGTTCTATGGGGCTGAGCCAGCGTGCGTGGTGAGGATCTGCCTGTGGGGTGGCCCAGCAGGCTGAAGGTGTTCCCCATCTGTCTCCTTGCAGAGATGGCCAAGGACAAGCCGCGGCTCTGCGCTGCACTGGAGATGGCCTCGGTGGCCGTGGCGAGGGTGAGTGCTGGATTTTGGGGTCCAGATGCTCATGGGGATGGAGCCCACCCTGGTCTCTCCTGGTGATAGCCAGGGTCTCTTGCAGGAGGAGGAAGGCAAGGATGACGATGATACCCTGGAACTCTACCAGCAGAGCCTGGGCGAGCTGCTGCTGCTCCTGGCTGGTGAGTTAGGAAGGAGGGGGGAGGTCAAGGGGGTGAGTCCTATGCCCTGCTGACCCCACACCCACACCCTGCAGCAGAGCCAGCGGGGAGGAGACGGGAGCTGCTGCATGCGGAGGTGAGCCCCAGCACCCGCCCCGACCCCGCCAACCCCACGGGGACACCGCACTGATGGAGCTCCCTGTGTCTGTCCGTCAGATCCAGACCTTGATGTCCCGGGCGGAGTACCTGAAGGATCAGATCAAGGTAGGGCTGGAGGAAACATTGGTGTTTGGGGGCTGATGGTGGTGGCCTTGCGGTACTGATGGTGGCTGTTTCTCTGCCCGTGCAGATGCGGGAGGCGCAGTCCATGGGCAAAGAGGCTCTGGCAGACTCCGTCCGGAGCTGTGAGTCCCCACATCCTTTTATCTACGAACTCTGTGCCTGCAGAGCCCTCCCGGCCAGCTGACCTGACCGTCCCCTCTGTCCTTTCCCCCCCACAGCCTGCACCTTGCAGTGATGCTCAACGGGATGCTGCTGGCGCCGCGGCGCTGCAGATGGCCGAGGAGACGGCTGGGCTGAGCGTGACTGCAATTTTCCCGTCAGGAGGAGTCCCTGCCTGGAACGTCTGCTGCAGCAGCAGCCTGCGTGCCCGCGGCGGGCAGGTTATTCCACTCCAATTCCCTCCGCTGGCTGGGCAGCGCGGCGGCGGCTGCTGCTGCTTCGTGCAGGCACGCGGCTCTTGCGTGCACAGCCTGCAGCTCACCCCGACCCATGGGGATAGGCGGGGGGGGGGGGGGGGGGGGGGGAAAAGAAGCAGGGCACCGATGGTTGGTGGTTTGTGGCACGGGGTTTTGCTTTTCTGGCAGAGGGGCAGCGCTTCGGCACGTTGGAAGCCGTTTGTTCTGTGTGCCTGATGCTAAAGCCGTTTGCACGGGGAGCGGAGGTGCCTCGGTGGTGGCGTGAGGTCTGGCCAGTTCTCAGCCCACCAGTGGAAATCGGGTGTAGGGAAAAGTCCCTGCAGGCCCCAGGGAAAAGTCTGGCTCTGCGTGTGCTGCAGCGCTCGGGGCTGGCAGGCTGTGCTCTGTGATGGCAACCATGCACCACAAACCTCATCCCTGGGGGCTGGCCCCAGCAGGGCCCCTCACCGACGCTGCGGAGCAGGGGGCTGTTCTCCAAATCTGCTGTATTTCAGGAGGTGTGATTTATCATCTGGAATAAATACTATTTGGGGGTTTCTCCACCTGTCTTTAGGGAGACCGAGGGGGTGGGTGCCACCCCATCCAGATGTGTGTGGTGGCAGCGGTGTCACCCAAAGCCACCACGCAGAGCGGGGCCCCAGGCTGTGACCTCCTCTTGCAGAGACCTTTTTATGGGATTTTTTTGCCGCATTATTCTGAGCAGAGATTAAATATCCCGAGGCTTTAAAGAGCTTTCAAGCCTCCCGCCCTTGCAGCCAGTGATCACATATGCCTTCACGCTCTGCCTGAGATGCGCCCCAATGTGGAGCTGTGTCCCCAGGGTTGGTGTCGGGATGGTTTAGGGTCACACTGTACCAGCTGTCCTTGACATTGAGGCTTGCAGCCATGGAGGTGATGCTGTGCTCCCCTGTAGTGCTATGGGTTGAAAGGGACGGGGGGAGGTGGGTCAGTGGGATTTTTATTTTTTCCCCCCTCCCAGGTTTTAAGATGCTCCCCGTAAAGCCTCTTAGACGCAGGGAAAGAGAGACGTGGGGTGCTGCTGCATGATCCCCTTAATCCGATTGTCCTTCCAGCAGCGTCCTGCAGGGAGGTTTAATTAACTGCAAAAATAACAGCCAAAAAGGGAAAACAAAAAACCCCAAGCGTGCAGTGAGATCCCCCATCCCCGGGTAGCACTCATCTGTTTCTCTGCTTTAACCATTATTCATCTGGGGCTCTTGCATGGGGGCAGTGCACCGGCCATCACACCAGTGGCACAGTGGCTCCATGCATCTTTCCAAAGAAAGGGCTTCCCATCCAATGCACGGAATCATTGAAGTTGGAAAGGAACCTTAAAGGTCATCCAGTCCAATTCTCTGCAGCTGGGGAGGAATGCTGGTTTATTTTTTTTTTTCCCTGGGCGCGCTGAGCACAAAGCCCACATGGGTGTCAGCAAAGGTGCTCTGAACGTGATGCTTCCACCACCCAGCACTGAAACACCGTTGCCTGTAATGCTGGAGGAAGCACTGCGGGAGGAAGGAATGCATAGACATCTCCTGGTATTTATTCCAGCGGCGATAACGGTGCCGTGGCACGGGGACAGCATAGGAGGTGTAACACTCGACTGAGCACAGCACACGACCACATCACGACAGAGAAGGAAGCGTTTTCCCTTACGGGGTCACCTTCTGCCCCTTCTCCCGCACGGAGCCGATCCCAGCCCGGGAGATAGGGACTCCAAGCCATCCCTTTGCTCTAACCTCAGACCGGACCGCAACCCAACAACAAAACCACGCACGGGGATACCGGCACGGACGGAGCGGGGACATCTGGGTCAGGGCTTAACACGGCTCAGAAGGAGGACCCGGCTCACACGGACGTCGGTGGGTCCCCACCACTGCAAGGCTGAGGGCATCGCGGCGATTGGGTCACATCACGGCGCATTTCTCGGCTGATTGCTTCAGGTCCTCTAGCGTGGCCGAGGCTTTGTCCTTCAAGGAGTCAAGGTCCAGGTTCTGGATGTTGCTGAGCTGACCAATGACGGAGTTCTTCTCTTCCTCCTCCTCGTTGTCCTGCTCGATCATCTTGGCCAGCTCCTTGGGCAGCTCCACGTCGCCTCCCACCAGCTGGATCTGGTTGTCGTCCGTTTCGTTCTGAAAGTCAAAGCGAGGGGTGGTGGGACATGAGGGCAGCGAGACTGCATCCAAAATCGACGTCATTGTGCCTACGTGGGCTTTGGCAGCCGACCCAAGGTCTTGAGGGCCGGTCCCTGGCATCCCTGGGTGGGATGATGCCCATGAGCTCCATCCCTCAATGGCCAGAGGCAATGTGGCCAAGCAGAGCTCAGCATGCACTGAGCAGCAAAGCAAGAGCCGATGTGCAAAGCAGATTGAGCCAGCGTGGCTCTAAATTGCCTTCCAGCTCCCATCCACGGTTTGGGCACCCAATTAAGCTACACGTATGTCTAATGACTATGCCCACCGGCGAGCGTATTGGGGTCAGCTCTGTACTGAAGAGCTTGCAAGAGGCAGACCAACTGCCAAGCAGGATCAGGAATGAGCAGAAGAAACTTGTCTAAAGATTGGAAGGGACATCTCAAGCACGAGGAAGCAGCAAAAGGATCGGGGGCCCATAGCTCAGCAAGTCCCCACTTCCCCCGGAGGAAATCTCCATCTTTTTTCTCTGCCTTTCTTCTTTTTTTGGCAGCAGAGGACAGATCCTCCAGCTGTTGTTTGCTGGCAGTTACGTGGGTGCAAGGAGCAGCGGGGCGTTCATCCAGGCTGGACCAAGAATCTCCAGCAATAAGAACAATATCACTTGGCTGAGCTGACCTTTCCAAACTAAAATTAGCCCAGCTCCAGTTCACAGCATTCACCACCGAGAGCTGCAGAAAGGCTCTCGCTGAATGCCGGGGGTGTTTTGGGGAGGGGGGGGACACTGGTGGCAGCTCCAAGAGCTGAATTGTCGCTGATTGAATTGTTCCCAGTGGGGCGGAAGTTCCAAAATTGGGATCCATCTAGGAAGCGTTTGCCAAATTATCTGTGGAGCTGGCTAATCCAGGGGGGAAGGAGCCACGCTCTGCTCACAGCTTACAGGGATGGCAGCCTGGAGTGGAGGGGGGCTGGCCCTCAAGGAGATGGGGTTGGGGTCAAAAGAGGGGAACTGGGGGACGAGCGTGCGCGTTGGGGTCCGCTTCTTTGGGATGGTGGAGCTGGTGGTGCTCAGAGGTGGCTGGAAGGTCTGATGGAATGGTGCTTTTTAGGGGAACAGAGTTATGCTTTGGGATTCGGGGCTCACAACCCCCCTGGGAGGTGGTTCCCATCTCTCCTCCTGTTTTCCCTGTGCCATACCTTGGGGAGCCGATACTTGTCTCGGAAGTGGGATCTGACCGTGGCCCTCTCTGCCTTGCGCTGGGCAAACTGAGCGTCTCGCTCCATCCTGTGAACCACACAGGGCAGTTATGAGTGCCCCCACCACCTCATCATCCCCCTCCCCCACAAACGAGGTGTTCCCCATCTCCACAAAGTCTCGATTCCCCCCCCCCCCTCCCCCCCCCTTTGTTGTTTTATTTATTTATTTATTTTTAACCCTGCTGCACAGCCAGAAAGGAGAAAAAAATCCCCGAGGAAGCGGATTAAGGGATTAAGGGGGGGGGAAGAGGTTCATTAAACAGCGTCCTGGCCCTGCCACCCCCACCATTGTTTTCCTCTATGCACGGAGAGCTCCAGGACCTCGTCCCAACCCGTCCGTCCCCCCTCCCCCAGCACTCACTTCTCCTCCACCAGCTGCCGCTGATACTCCTCATACTCCTCCCGGGTCATGCCTTGAGCCTCTGCTGGGGACTTCTCACCCTCGCTCTTCTCCTCGCCTCCCAAGCCACCCGTCAGGTTCTTCAGCTGCCCCCCAACCATGCTCTTCACCATGAACGCCATGGCTGCGGGGTGTGAGGTGCTGGGAAATGTGGGTACCGGGGGGGAGATGGGATGTTCAGAGAATGGAGGAAATGAAGGTGTTGGGGTGTTTGGGGGGTAGGATGCCCGAGGAACTGGAGACAGGGGGGAGAGAAGATGCTCAGAGCACTGGAGTGATGCGGGTATCGAGGGTAGTGGAGAGATGGAATACTCAGGGAACTGGAAGCTGTGGGTAACGGGGAGGTGGGATGCTCAGGGAACCAGGAGATGCAGATACCAGAGGAGGTAGGGGGGAGATAGGATGCTCAGGGAACTGAGAGATGCGAGTATTGAGGCTAGCAGAGAAACGGGATGCTCAAGGAACCGGGAGATGTGAGTAACGGGAAGGTGGGATGCCCAGGGAACAAGGAGCTACGAGTAGCAGGGTTAGCAGGGAAATGGGATGCTGAGGGAACTGGGGAGATGCGGGTATCGAGGGGACCGAAGGGATGGGATGCTCAGGGAACCGGAGATGTGGGTACCAGGGGCAGAGGGGAGATGGGACGGTCGGGGTACCGAGGAGACGCGGGTATTGGAGGCAGCGGGGAGATGGGATGCTCGGGGAAGCGGCGACCCTGGAGCGGAGAGAAAAGGAGCCGAGTTAGCGGGGAGCCGCGCGAGTTGTGCTGTCGGGAGACCGAGGGGATTCCCGGTGCCGGGGTACCCCGAGTCTCTCCCTCCTTACCGGGCAGCCTGAGCTCAGCGCCGGCCGCTCTCCGCTCCGGGATGCCCGGCGTTCCGCCCGGGGGTCGCTGGGGGCGGCGGGCGCTGCAGCTCCGCGGCGCTGACAGCTCCGTGTGAACGCGGCGGGGCGGCACCGCCCGGCCCGGACCCCCCCGGACCCCCCCGGTAAGAGGCGGAGCCGCCCCGCCTCCCCCCCCCCCCCGGTGTTGTTGGGGGGATGAGGACTGAGGGAAGGGGTGAAACTTCACGGCGGGGTCGTGTGGAGCCGGAGGGGGATCGGGATGGCTGGGGTTGATATCTTCCCTCCCCCGCCCGCCCCACTCCGACCCCCGGTGGACCAAACCCCCGGGAGACCTTTTTGCTTATCCTTGTTCTATTTCTTAATTTTCCTTCTTATTTTTCTTCTTTTTTTTCCCTCTTTTTCCTGAAGGAAAAGAACCGGATTTGGCACCCCTCGAGTTGTCGCTCGCTCTTAGCCTGCAAGAGCTGGCGCGGCCCGAAGCGCGCTGTTAATGATGTTAATTAATTCTAATGCAAGCTGCCACCTCTCCCTGCAAGCGTTGCCTTGGACAAGCGAACCTGGCACCCCTCGGCCGCAACCCCGGAGCTGAGGAAGGTGCAGGCACCGATTGCACGGCCCCGCATCCCCTTCCCATCCCGCTCCCACTGCCGCCTTCCCTTTGGCCGCAGCCCCGGGGGCAGCGCGCAATTAACGGCGTTTCCACGCGCCTCCCTTCCAGATGGCCAGCCTGGCTTTAGCGTGCGTTTCTCCTTCTTTTTCCTCTCCTCCCGTGAAAATACACGGCGTAGCCCGGCTCCAATCCCAGCTTGCAGGAAAATCATTTCATTTTCAGAAATTTAAAGACAATCTCTGCAGATTAAAATGATGGAACAGCTGTGGAACGATGGAGCAAAGTGAGCGGGGAGGCGGGGGGGAGTTGAGGGGGGGTATTTCCTCCCTCCCCCCTTTGCCCAAGGGAGCACCAGGTCTTAAAAGGCAAACAGCATCATCTCGGTGCGTTCCACTTGGCCGTCCCTCTGCTTTGAGCATGGGCCTTTGTGGCTGACCACCCCCCCTTCCCCCCCCTTGTATCTCCAGGTCTGTGCTCACAGATTGCTTTTTGGGAAAGCAGGGCTCGGGATCCAGCCCTGTGGGTGTCACCTGCTTGGGTGCGCAGCACCTGGATGCAGGACTGGGAGCGTGCCTGCAGCCCGCCTTGGTTAACAGCAAGAGACTGGAAGTCAGGACTGATTTTTCCAGCTGGATTAGATGGGTCGGCTGCTGCGTAGCCTCCCTGTCTGAGGAACGTAGAGGAAGCAGCTCTTGATGAGCTGAGCTGCTTGGACAAAGCAGTGAGGTGAAAACAAGCACGCGATTCCCGGCTGTCTGGAGGCTCCGCGGTGCTTTTTGGGAGGAGGTGATGGATGGAGGTCGGGGAGCCCGGCGCCTTGGACATGGATGTGCCCCCGGGACAAGAGCCATGAGATGGCCCTTTGCAGCCTCTGGCAGCCCGGGGTGTTGGTGGCATTTGTAGGGATGAAGTAAAAGGCCAAGAAAAGGGCATTGCCTTCTGCAAGGCACAGGGAAGCCTCACCTCCAGAGAGGGCAGGCAGCTCTGCTGCGCCCCTGAGCTCGGTGTCCTTATGGAGGTGGCACTCAGAGGGATGCTGCAGGTCCTGGTTATAACTGTGCCCACTGTGGAGCTTCCAGGCATCTGCTTTTCCATTTGCTTTTCACCGCCGCTTCTCCCCGCAATGTATTCCAGTTGGAATGACTCATCCTTCCTCTCAGGACTCCAACCTGCAGTAATGAGATGTAAATCCTCGCATGACCTATTATATTAGCTTATGCTATATCACACATCTCCGTGGATTAGAAGGGAGGGAGACGAGACGTCCTCCCGAGGCAGCAGCCAGTGGGATCTAAGAGGATCGCTCCTTGGCGTTGGCACCTGGTTTGAATACCTCTGCCATGAGATCTGCTCACAGCAGACACACGTCAGCCCAGCTCTTCTTTCCAGGTAAGTGGAGAACTGACCCCAGCTCCTCACCTGCAAGCTCTCTGGATGGGAGCAGGGTTTGCCAGGGTCGCGTGCAGTGGCCCGCTCTTGAAGCAATGTAGATTTCATGGAGCTTTCTCTCCCTTTCACCATGTTTCTCTCTGCTGTTACCTTGCTAGCTGTCCAGCCAGGTGCTCAGACACGAGGTGATGTTTCTACGACGTCGCTCTTCCAACTCCAAGGCCAAGTGCAACCCCACGCTGTACCCAAATGCTGCACCACCCCATTACCTGCTGCAGCCCTCCCAGGGATGAGCTGAATCCAGGTGGCACCTGGAGCTACAGCACCACCCAGATGACACCAGGTAAGCCTTGCAGTGGATGGCAAAGGGCTGAAAATGTTGAAGACCCCAAGCGCAAGCACGGGATCAGCAAGGCTGGAAAAGGCCTTGGAGCTCATCAGGTGCAGCCATGAGTAGGTCCTGGAAGGATGTGTGTGTGCTGGAGACACACCGGGGGAGGAACGAGGCGGCGCTGCTAAATAAAGCAGGCAGGCTCTGCCGGGTGAAGTCACACTGACACTTCCCCGCCGGCTGTCACTTGGTGTGACGGGCACAGTCACAGCAGCACAGGGCTTTGGAGCTCAGCCATCAGGGCCGGGAACACTGAGGGACTGGTGAGGATAAGGCCAGGAGCATCAGCAGGGGCTGAGGGACACCCAAAGGGGCAAGGATAGGGATATCGGCAAGCTTTGCCAAGGAGGCTGTGGATGCCCCATCCCTGCAGGCATTCAAGGCCAGGCTGGATGTGGCTCTGGGCAGCCTGGGCTGCTGGTTGGTGACCCTGCACGTAGCAGGGGGTTGGAACCGGATGAGCGTTGTGGTCCTTTTCAACCCAGGCCATTCTGTGATTCTATGATTTGGGTGGGAAAGCACGAGGGACCCTTGGAGATCTCAGCACTGGGCTTTGGGCTTCGAGCTACTCTGGGTCCCGTGGCCATAGCCAACCCCCCTCCTCTAAGACCCACACCAGCCCCACTGTGCCCTCCACTGGTAAGTGAGGTGGATAGGGAGGGTTGAGGTCATCCATCAGACAGCACCCTGTATATAACACCTGAATATCGTGACATCGGTGGCACTGAATGGCAAAGCAATGCACCTCCTGCTCTAGGTGTAGCCGTACAGGCGTGGGAATCACCACAGCTGGGGGTGAGGGAGGCGAGGGGGGGCCGCGGTGGCACCCGAGCAGTGACACAAATACACAGGGACAGACACACGGAGCCGTGTAAACAGGCACATGGGGAGACCATGTGCTGCTTGGCTGTCGGTGCATGCCCCCAGCAAAGGCACACGGCATGGGGAGCACGTGTGGGAGACATCCCAGAGGGGGTCTGACCAGGGTTCTCCTTTCCTGGAGAGCTCCAAGGGAGAGAGCATCAGCAGCTGGGAGGGATGGTGTGACCAAGGTGACCTTGGCTGCAGGTTGGTGACCCTGCAAGGCCAACCTCAGGGAAGGGAAAGCAAAGGGTGTGCGAGTGCAGAGGCGTCCCGTGCCTCCTGCAGCCTCTGCAAACGTCAGCGCGGGTCCCAGGGACTCACCCTGCCCTGCTGCCTGCAGCAGGCACCCCAGCCAGATGGGGGGATGCTGAGCCAAGCTGGGATCGCCGCCAGCAGTGCAACGGGGCAGGGATCAGCAGCTCACAGCCCTGCTTCCCACTGAGGAGATCTCCAATCCAAACCCCTGCACCCAAGCTGACGGATCCCACCCAGCCCCTTTGTGCGGACCGCTGTTGTGAAGGGAAGCAGAGAGCCTTGAGCAGTAGGTGGAGGCAAAGAGCAGAGAGAGGGAGGACAGTGCTTGGAGGTGGGGGTCGTCCTGGTGCTGGGGCCGATTGGTGGCCCAAGGGGACAGGGATAGCACTAATATCTTTCTACCTCTGGTTTCAGCCCACCGCATGAGGCTGCTCAGCCTTTCTCTCCATTTCAAAAGCCACGTTCTTGCTGGCTTTGCCTGAAAATGACTTTAATCTTCATAAGCCCGAGAAGTAAAGCTGCTTATAGGCGATGTGAAGAAGTTGGGGGGGGGGGAGGAGAGAAACAGACAGGGTTAGTCCGGGAGAAATGAAACCCTACAGCATCAGACCCCATCACAGCACTGTGCCACCCCTTCCACGCACCTGGATTCCATTGCTACACCCAGTGTGAGGCATCATTGTGATGAGCTCGTCAGTTCTCAGGCTGGAACCACCCCACCATGCCCAGAAGAAGGGGAACTGTGCCAGGGGGTCCTTATCCCCTATGGGGTGGGTGCAGGGGATGAGTGACAGAGGGCTCTGGCAGGCGGGATGTGCCGCGTCCGTATGGAATGGTTTTATTACAGTTTTAATCTCACAGTCGGTAGCATTACATGAGAATAAAGCACTGGACAGGACTGGAAAAAAAGGCCTCTGGAGACAGCATGCAAACATTGCAACAAGTTTAAAGCAAAACAACCCAAAAAAAGCGCCCTCGGGGGACGCTGCTGCGCTCCCAGCAATGCAGCGTCTCCTCTGGAACCATCACTTCTGTCGTTGGGGTTTCCTTTTTGTGTGTCCATTTCATTGGCTTATTTATTATTATTCTTCTTTTATTAACCTTCTTTCTTCTTCTTCTTCTTCTTCTTCTTCTTTTTTTTTTTTTTAATTTTCTGTCTTTTAATTACATTAAAAAATAAGATTCGTACTTTAGTAAAACGGCCAGCGCTCGGCTGGGCCCCTGCTTGAAATAATAATAATAATAAAAAAAAAAACAAAAAACCACAACGTAATGACAACAACAACAAAATAATAATAAAGCAACGGCTCCCCTCCCCCCCTCAAAAAAAAAAAACAACAAAAAAAAAGGAACCCGAACGAAAAACACCCCAAAATCAAAGGGGGGGGGGGGGGGGGGGAAA